GTAGGGAACCCCACCCCACCGCTGGCCGTGTGCCTGCAGAACCCCCTGGCTGCCCAACCATGAGGTCCTCTGGAGAAGGACGATTGTACAGGCGAGGAAGCAAGACTACGTGGCCCTAACGTTCCCTTCCAGCCTGAGCTTTTTCTGTGTCCCTACTTTGTGAATCTGTGTTCTGAGCCCTTCTCTGAGATGCTCTCTTTCTCAGTGGTCAATACAGTGGCCCAGCCTGAGACAGCGAATGTCGGAAGGTAAATGCACCTCCTTACCAAGGAGGTGCAGACGATGAGCTTTGCCCGTTGCACAGAGCAGTCCTGGAGCTGGGATGGGGGCTGCTGGAGGCCACCTGGCCTGGTAGGTTTCAACCTAGGCTGTACCTTAGAATCCCTTTGGGAGCATTCAAGAAATACAGATGGCCAGACCCAACTCCGGACCAATCAAAGCTGAATCAGCAGAGTCGGGCTTGGCCTTGTGTATGTTTCTATAAGCTCACAGGTAATTCTTTGATACACTGAGGATGGAGACCCCCTGGTCTAGTCCATCTGTACCTATCTACAGTTAAGATGAAGACAAGGAGCACCAGACAGGAGCTGGGACTCCAACCCTGTCCTCTTAAGTCCTAGCCAGAGGCTAAAATCAGAAAGCATTGTTCTGCCCTGGCCAGTTTGGCTCAGCAGTTAGAGCGTCGGCCTGTGGTCCAGAGAGACCCGGGTTCAGTTCCTGCTAAGGGGGCGTACCTCGGTTGCAGTTTGTCCCCGGCCCTGGTTGGGTCGTGCGGGTGGCAACCACTCGATGTGTCCCTTTCACGTCGACGTTTCTCTTTCTCTCTCTCTCTCTGTCTCTCTCTCTCTCTCCCTCCCACTCTATCTGAACAAAAAATGAAAAAAAAAAAAAAGAAAGCATTGTTCTGAGCCCTCTGCAGGTCTCCCACCCCCCCCACACTGTTCCAGCAGAATGGGGGCTCTGTGCTTCTGATTGTCCCCTCCCTTAGCCATGGCTGAGTCCCCCTGTCTGCCTACACATGCCAGACACCCCAGTTGCTTGTCTTGTCCTCTATTTACTCAGTCGCTGGGGCCTGCCAAGCTTGCCAAAGACCAAATCCCAGGTGTCAGGCAAGCAGAATTCTACTGGATGGGGTCACCTGTCCTGCCTCATTTGTGGCCAGCACTTCACAGTTTACAAAGCCCTTCCAGCCTGGTCGGTGTGGCTCACTGGTTGAGCGTCCACCCATGCACCAAGAAGTTACTGGTTCGATTCCTGGTCAGGGCACATGCCCAGATTGTGGGCCCGATCCCTAGTGGGGGGCATGCAGAAGGCAGCCAATCTATGTTCTCTCTCATTAATGTTTCTCTCTCTCTCTCCCTCTCACTTCCTTTCTAAGATCAATAAAGGAAAAATGTTAAAAATTTTTTTAAAAAGCAGCCCTTCCACCTCCACTCACTAACACATTCTACTCTAACATTGGCTAGGAGGCATGATTGTCCTCCTGTTCAGGAGGGAAGATTAGCCTTAGAGAATTAAGAAACTTTCATGCCCAAAGGCTACAAGGGGGTGGAGGTGGGGCTGAGTTTGGGGGACTTCCTGAATGCCTCCTCAGCCGGAGCCAAACCTTCTCAGACTCTCCCCACCTCAAAGGGACCTTGCGCTTAGAAACAAGACGAAGGCATCCATGAACAAACTTTTTCTTTTTTTTACATCTAGAGTAAATTATTTAAATTATTTCACAGCAAGGGAGCGGGATAGGTAATTTTTATCAGATATTTTTTTAAGCCATTTTTAAAAATTACTTTTTTGTTTATGTTCTTGACTAATGAAGTGGGACTTGCCCGAATTTGCAGGGCCAGGCCCTCACGCTCAGGGCAAGCAGAATGTGCACTCATCTCTCTACTCCAAGCCCTGGGAGGCCCCTGACTGTTGACTCAGGAACGTTCTGAGAATGAAGACAGCGCTGGGAGATGAGCGTTAGGGCGTGTCCACCTTTAGCGCTGCAGTAACTGCTCTTCCTGGAACAAAACTTGAGTATCATAGAGGGAAGCAGGAAGTCAGAAACTGATCTATGCTTTTCATATGAAACCGTGCCTGAAACAGTTTGATTGTTTTAATGTTGTTTCTTAAATTCCTTGTACCTTTGTCAAATAAATAAATAAAGTGAAAATAAATAGATGTGGAATCCTGCTATGGAAAGAATATAACAACATAATAAACAGCGTCTGCCTACACATTTTAACACATGGGACTTTTCCTTTTCTTGATTTTGTTTCACAAATAACAATTAAGTACCTACTTTTCCAAGCTGCGGAACAGGTAAGACAGAATTTGTCCCTGCTGTCTGAAGTTTCAAGTCATGTTTGGAGGGAAGGGGAGACCCAGGATACGAGAAATGTAGACTGCTGTGGCAGGAGAGGCAAAGAAGGCTTCCTGGAGGAGGTGATATTTAGGCAGAAACCTGAAGGGTAAATAGGAGTATGCAGGGCAATAAGCATTTGGGGAAAGTGTGTTAGAAGCAGAGAAAACTGCCTGTTCTTTGGCCTGGAAACAAGCCAAGACTAGAGCATAGACAGGGCAAGGATTAAGGGTATTAAAAGCCAAGAGCCTTGTAGGTGGGAACTGAGACTCCCTCACCCCCCAGCTTCACTGAGGTATGATTGATAAAAAATCCTATGTATTTAGGCTGTGTGTGATTTTTTTTAAGTTTCACAATGTGATGATTTAATAGATGTATAGACTGTTGAATGATCACCACACTCAATTTACACACCCTTCACCATACATAGTTACCATTTTTTTTCTGTTCTGTGGTAAGGACCCTTGAGATATACTCTCCACAGATTGGCCAGGTAGTTCATCTGGTTAAAACTGGGAGATCCCTTTCCCCACTGAATGATGTGGCTGGAGTCTTTATAATATCTCAAGAAAAAGAATTTTCTGAGACTCACATGGAAGGATGAGTGATTTTTATTTGCATGGAATTACATCCCTGGGTTTCCAAAGTCTCATTTCCCTTAATCCAGTCCTGGAAGAAGTGTAGCTGGGGATTCAATAGAGCTAAAAGCAAAGCCAGTGTCCAGAGTCTCCGTTCCATGTTGCAGCCGGGTCTAGTTCAGCATCAGGCTAGCTGCAGTCCCTTAGTCCGTTGTGTGTGGGGTCCACATGGCTGTGGGCCATGTGGGAAAATGCAGGGGGGCCAAGAGAGCACACCCCCTACAACAAGAGAGCCAAGAGAGCAACCAAAAGCTCAAGAGCACATTCGCACAAGAACCCAAGAGCAGGAACTCCTTTGTTCAGGGGATTAAATATCAAACATTTCTTGCCCTTGCAGTGGCCACACCCATTCTGGCCAATGACCTGTTCCCAGGTGTGACAGACAGGCAAGTACCTTCCTTGTGTCACCCCAATTTTACAGGGCATGCATCTATCTCTTCTCCGTTGGACCCCTGGGGAGTGTAAAGTTTTAGCTTCTTGCCAAAGCTGCCCAAATAACATGCCTATAATAGTTGTCCTTTCCTGTTATTAATAACTAGGTTAATTACAACAGTATCAATACCATATAGGCTTTGTCTTTCTCCGTCTGGCTTATTTCACTTGGTACAATGTCTTCCAGGCTCATCCATGTTGCAATGGCAGGAGTTCTGTTCTTAGGTCTGAGTAACATTTCACTGTATATACATTCCACATCTTTATCCATTCATCCCCTGAAGGACACGTGAGTTATTTCTACATCTTGGCTTTCGTGAATATTGATATAATGAACATGAGAGTGCAGCTTTCTCTCTGAGATATTGACTTCATATTCTTTGGATAAATACCCACAAGTGAGATTGCTGGATAATACGGTAGTTCTATTTTTAATCTTTGAAGGAACTTCCGCACTGTTTTCCATAATGGCTGCACCAATTTACATTCGACTGAGGCTGAGACTTTAACCTGGGGGGCAATTGTAGTTTCCAGGGTGTTTCCTACAATTGTGGAAATGGTTATTTCTCCTGTGGAAAGGGCAAGCGAGAATCAAGGGAAAGTGAAAAGTGTAGGTAAATGCTTACCACTCCAGAAGGCCAGAGCCCACTTGGTCCCCATCCACAGGGCTGCACCTCTCTGAGCAGGACTGGACCAGCCTCACTAAGGTGTCGGGGGAGCCCATCTCCTTCCAGTTAGACCATTAGGAGTGTGAAAATAAAGGGAACCTTCATTTAAAATGAAGTCGGGAGGCCAGAAGGGGGAGTCCTTAAGCATTACCACTCTAAGTCAATTACAGACCAACAGGAAGGACTCCTATTATTTTTTCTTTTGGTCTGTGCCCCTAGCGGGAACCGAACCCATGACTCTCTGGTCTGAAGGCCAATGCTCCGACGCTGAGCCAAACCTGCCAGGGCCCAGCGGGAAGAATTCAATGCGAGTGGATACTACCTTACTCCTCCAGCTGAGGAGGATTTCCTTCATGCCCAGCCCCTCAGCCAGGGAGAAACTGTCACAGCTCTGCATTCTCACTTTTCCTTCAATGGACTTTCCTCCACAACGACCGCTCCCAACTTCCTCCTTCTCTACAAGATACAACATCCCTCTCCTTGCTGGTCGGACTTGCCTATGGCTTTTGCTATAACTTGCTTGTCCCGCATTGCAATTCCTTGGCTCTTTCCAATTGAATCCACTCTGCCGTTAACATAAGTGCGTGTTGTATTTTTAAGGTATGCAGGAGCAAACCCCATTTCCGCTGTGCCCCCACCTCTAGGCCAGACACGAGGTCGGCTGGACCAGACCTGAGCCTTCAGCACCGGCTAAAAACTGTTGGGCAGATGCGGCAGGAAAGCACCCTGAGGGTCAGGAGGGTGATGGTGCAGCCGAGGCGCCCCCACCCCCACCCCCACCCCCACCCCCACCCCCACCCCGCGCCGCGCTGCAGGCTTCCATCCCGGGCGGGGCTGGCGCAGGCCGGGCCCCGCCCCACCGTCCGGTTTCGATTCCCACGCGCTCCTCCTGCACCCCGCGGCGCAGAGCTGTGGAAGTGAATGGCGGGCGCAGGGGCGCTAAGCCGAACACCTGGGATGTCGGGCCCCACGGAGTCCGAGGACACCTGCGGCTGGCGCTGCCCAGAGCACAGCGACCGCGTGGCCGAGCTCTTTTGTCGCCGCTGCCGGCAGTGCGTGTGCGCGCTTTGCCCCGTGCTGGGCGCGCACCGGGGCCACCCGGTGGGCCTGGCTTTGGAAGAGGCGGCGCACGTGAAGGTGGGGACACTGGGGCGCGAGGGGCCGGGAGGGACGAGACCCGGGTCCAACTGCCAATTCCCATTAGGGCCTGGAAACCTCAAGACAGCCCAAAGGTCATCTAGGCGACCCACCTATTTATTGTTCAGAAAGAGAAACTGATGCCCAAATCAGTTTGGGTGGGGACTGGGGCTTCTATCATTTAGGGCAGTGATTTTCAACCAGTGTGCCACAAGAATTTTTAAAACGTGCAATAACTATGTAGTCAGGGACACTGACCCTTAGATTGTCAAATAAAAAAATGAGCCAAGGCCAACAGTTAACCTGCAGAAGATGTGGGTCTGACAGTGAGAACTTGGGAGCCCGGCTGTTTCCCAGATACCCTGGACCTCGTCCACCATGGCAGACCCACCACACTGCTCTGGGGCTGGGAAAAAAATCTGCCTTTTAACTAAGATTAAAATCCCTCCCTATTAGAAAACAGCCATGGAGCCTGGAAAGCCGCACAAGTGTCTCTGGTTTTATTTCATGGAGTTAACAGGAAGGGGCTGTTGACTTCCTGACTGCACTGGGAGCATCCCCACCTCTTACTCTATCTACCCACTCCACCCTCTCCCTCCACACGCTCCAGTTCCACAAGCATAACTGCCTGGTGGGAACTAGGACAACCATTTTATCGGTAAGAAAAGGAAGGCCCTGGACACAGAGGCAAGCCTTGAACCCAGGAGTCCACCCCATGGGCTGCCCCCTCGGGGTTCATTCTCACCTGGGAGCCCTTACCCTTGCTTAATCGTTGTAGTGTCAGGGGCTCTGGACTCTTCTTCCAGCCCTGTGGCTGACTTGTTCTGTGGCTGTGGTCGAATTCCTCCACCTCTCCAGAGGCAGGCCCACCCATCTCTAGTGGGCATTGATTCTACCACTAACACCTCCAAGAAGTCTTCCATGATTAACCCAGCCCCACAATGAATGAATGACCACTTTCCCTTGCATGGCATGACTTAACATTATTACATTGTTAACAACCTTGGAACTCCAAGGTGAGAATGGCCCTGTGAGGGCCAGTCCAGCAGGTGGAATCTTGGGTTCAAGGTCTGCCTGTACCTCTAAGGTCCTCCTTTTCTTATATAAAATGGCTGTAATATTAATAGGTCCTCAAAAGGCTGTTTTCCAGGGTTAACAAGGGTGCTGTCCAGAGATATAGCTGTGGGTCTCATAGGTAAGTCTACCCACCTACCTATGGGTACCTATTTTGTGTCCACACACCCACCCACTCATCTATTTACCTGTCATCCACCCATTCATTCATTCACTCACCAAACATCCATTCAGTACATACGTTGTGTCATGAGTCAAGGAATAGGTCAATTCTTCCCTGACCTGGAGGAGTTCCCTGGCTGGTGTGGGGAGAACAGTGACAATACAATGTGGTAGGTATTATAACTGGGATGCCCAGTGGTCAATGGGATTCAGATGGAAGACAATGTGAACCAGGGACAAGATGCCCATGAAGATTTCCTGGAGGATGTGCCATTGGAACTGGCCTTGCAGAATGAGTAGGGTTTCACCAAGTGCTAAGATAGGAGAAATACCCTGTGACTGGAGGGCACAGGCATCAGGGCGCTGGATTATCCTTGGCTGAGGAACAGGAGCTGAACTTGAAAGTTTAGAAATCACAGTGGGGTAAGGATGTGCTCCTGGAACTCGGGTTACTGTTGTGTCCCCACTCCCACACCCCACCTAGAATAAAATTGCACATAGTAGCAAATCTTATTGGATGTTAAAATTAAAGGTTCGTCTATTAAGCACTTACTGTCTGACCAGCACTACACCACTAAGTAGAGCACTTATTTGCCACAGCAATCCTATGAGGTTATCCCCATATTTATAGCTGAGGAAACCGATGTTTAGAGGATTGAGGTCCCTTGCCCGGGAACTCAGACCAGGAGAGCTCATATGACTCTGGGGCTTGTGCTCATAACTTCCTGGGTGTCCCCAAGCTTTCCTTGAGGTCCTATTTGAGCGACAGGAAAAGCAGGTCACAAACAGGCTTGTCCTAGAAAGAATGGGGCATCATGGTTTGAAGAATCCCTGATGTGGGCCTCGGGACCAGAGGGGCTTTGGGTGAGTCATCTCACCTTCCGAGTCTCAGATACCTCAGCTGAAACACAACACGGGGGTGAGAGGTGATGACACCTGGGAAGCCTTGTAATCTTGAAAGTGACAGTATTAAGACTTTTTCCCTAACCCCTTCACTTACAGAAACTCACCCAAGAATATTTAAAGCAGCTGACAACCAAGAAGCAGCAGCAAGTTGGCAACAGAAACCAGATAGAAGATGCTGCTGAGCAGCTCAAGGCAAGTGGACGTTCTTCCTTATCCTAGTTGAGATGCCCAAATGTCTCCTCGGACGCAAGGTTCTCCCCACTAGGGAGCCGAAGAAAAAGAAAAATCAAATTCAAAGGGGAGATCAGTTTTGGTGGGGCCTGGGGCTTCTATCATTTAGGGCAGTGATTTTCAACCAGTGTGCCACAAGAATTTTTAAAACGTGCAATAACTATGTAGTCAGGGACACTGACCCTTAGATTGTCAAATAAAAAAATGACAACAGCCATCACAACAATAGTCATCTGGTGGAAATGAATCAAAATTATACCTATTTTTTTGTCATATCAGCAAAAAATATATTTTTGGGTATGCTGCAGAAGTTTAGTAATTAGTTTATGTGTGCCATGAGATAAAAAAGTTTGAAAATCGCTGATTTGGGGGGCCCTTTTTGAACAAAAGAACACAAAATTAGGTGCAAGACCATGAAGGGGTCTTGCTAGTGAGGGGCCTGAGGCTACTGTTCCATTAGCTTTGTGGTGAGTCTGCCTCCACCCAGCACCCCGACCTTGCCCCGTAACACCTGACAAAATAGAGGAGTAACCTTTCTCTCACCATGGCCAAGGTCATTCTCTTGAAGGGACTAGTCCTCCATCCCCAAATGCCTTAAGCAAAGCACAACGCAACTTAAGGAACACACGAAAAGCTCCTTAGGGTTCACTGCCCATGGTGAAAGGGAGAGTAAGGTATACATATTTTCCACAAATAATTTACTTTCTTCAGACTTCTCCTTTCTTAATGATGTTTATTTAAATGGATTCTTTTGTGGGTTTTAAATGGGAAGTCGAGGCTGATGTTATCATGAGCTGCCGTTTTGACTGTGAAAAAGTTGTTCTGTCTCTAGGAGCCTTTTATGTGAACTGGGCCAGTCCCTACCCTCTCAACCTCAGCAACCCCTCCTGGAAGTAAGGGCTGGGGTGGGATGCCCTCCCGGTGGGATGCCTTCCCAGGGCCTGCTCCCCTGAGAGCTTTGGGAGCCCCTGACCGACCCCTACAGTCAGGCAGGAGCTGGCTCGCACTGTGGCAGTCGTTCACAGCGGAGTCACTGTCTGAAAATCTCTGAAAGACAAGAGCTAGGATTAACGTAGACAGGCCAAGGGCCCCCACAATAAGAGTTAGGATTCACATAGACAGTCCAAGGGGACAGGTTTGTGCTTAATCTAAAAAGTGGACATGCTGAGGCCAGTGCCAGGCCACGGAATTGGCTTCCTGTTGGCCCAGCACCCATTATCTGAAAGATGACTACGGGACCCAGTTTGCTGAGGACAGTTGTGTCCCTGGCGTAGTTATTAATAGTGTTCCTCAGATCTTCAAGAGTAGGACTCCAGCCCCAGGAGGATAAGTCAGTTCAAAAGGATTTGGAAACTGAAAGTTGGTGCATCTGATGGGATGGGGGAGATGCTTTGGGTTGTTTAGCTAGAACAGGGTTGGGGCACAGGTTCATTGTCTGCAAGACTCTGAGCAGATATAGTGTGGGGGCCTCCAAAACAAGAGTTAGGATCCATGTGGACAGCCAAGGAGGCAGGTTTCAGGAATGGTTTTTCTTCTTTTAACCTTCTCGCCAACTTTCATTATTGATCTTTTTTTTCAGAGAATGAGGAAGGGAGACGGAGAAACATGGAAACATCGATGAGAGAGAACATCAGTTGGCCACCTCCTGCATGCCTCCCACTGGGGATTGGGCCCACAGCCTGGGCATGTGCCCTGACTGGGAATCAAACTGGCAACCTCCTAGTGCATGGGTCAATGCTAAAAGTATGTCAGACTTTTATTTTGAAATAATTATAGTCACAGGAAGTTGCCAAGGTAGTAAGTCCTGTGTGCCTTTCACCTGGTTTGCCCCAAGGGTTATATCTTACCTAACAATAGTACAGTTTCAAAACCAGAAAATTGACATTGTATATACTGCATTCTATGTCAATGTATTGCATGTGTAGATTTGAGTAACCATTGCTGTAATAAAAATACAGACCTGTTCCATCACCACCAAGATCTACCTCATGCTACACCTTTATGGTCACCACCCCCTGCTCCCAGCGATCCCTAACTCCTAGCAGTCACTAATTTATTCTCTATCTCTATAATTACAGCATTTGAGAATTTATGAACATGGTATATCTTCTCATTTATTTAGATGTTTGTTTTCTTTCATCAGCATTTTGTAGTTTTCTGTATACAAATCCTGAACATGTTTTTTTTTTTTTTTGACTTACACCTAAGTGGCCCTCAGAAGGTATTAAGAAAAATTAGCGGTCACCATTTTAATGCTGAGAGGTATTTGTATAAAACATTAGATGTAGTAAAGTAGGAAGATATGGCCACCCTAGACCTACATTCCCGCGTGGGAGTTGTCAAAGCACCTGCTCATGAGAAGGGCATGCATCGCCCGGATCTCCTGGCCCTGCCTGCTCACTCTCCTCACTGTGTTACCAGGCTGTCTCCTGTGGGCATTTATATTTCAATTCATGGTCAACAAGAAGATTTTTAAAAATTCAGTCATAATTCTGCCACTCCAAGCCAACCTCTAATCACATTTTGATATTTCTTTTTTTCTGTATACAAATATTATTTCATATAGTATCATATCCCCTGTATGGAGGTGAGGCATGGTGGTTCGTGTCCCTGTGTCATTTGACATTTGTGTCATCACCTTGCCTTCATTAGGTATTTTCCACAGTGTCCCATGTGCCCTGGGTTGTGAGCGGCCCCTGCAGAGCACCGTGGATGAGCATCTGTGGAGGACTCTGTTTCAGCAGTCCCAGACCAGCCGGAGCAGCCCTCTGTGACTCTGGCTTGATGCGGGTGTCCCCTTCCCATTCTCAGCTGGAATGGGGCCAGGTGCCCTGAGCACCCTCTGGAATGAGCAGGCCCCAATGTGCTGCGCTCTCGGACAGCTGCATGCCCAGCGTCCCAGTCTGAGCTCGTCTTCTGCCCGCAGCTCTGACATCAAGTGCCCTCCTTGTTCTGGGCACCTGAGGATTTCCTTACTTGTTATCTGTGGGGTTTTGTTGTTTTTTTTTGGGGGGGGGGGGTGCATTCTGACACACGCTACAATATGGATAAACTTTGAAGACGTTATGCTAAATGAAATAAGCCAGACACCAAATGACAAATACTGTATGATTTCACTTATGTGCAATATTTATTTTTATTATTTTCTTTTAAAAATTTTTTTAAATCCTCACCTGAGAGGGAGGGTTTGACTTATTAAGCCATTTTCCTAATGTTGACTATTTAGGTCATTTCCAGTTTTTCACAAATGTAAAATACCCCTGCAGTGAACGATTCTGGCAGCTTGATTCACTGCCTTCGGGACACGTTTCCAGAAGTGATGCGCCCGGTTCAGCAGGCCCAGGCGTTTGTGAGGATCCGGGTGCCTCCTGCCCAGCTGCCCACGGTGGTCTGGGGCAAGCGCGCTGCTGCGTACCGTTCACACAGGGGCAACCTTTCGTCTGCACGTGAATCCATAAAACAGTTCCATAAATAAATAAAAATCAATAAAGTTCATACATGGTCCAAAGTCTGCCGTTCCGAAGCCAGTGACCAGGCCCAACCCGCCACTCCCTTCCACAGAATATTTGAGAAAGACTTGGCCATTAATCCCCCACCAACACCTATGAATGATTTTCTCTGACATCCCTGTTAATAGGCTGTTTGAACCCATCACTGCTCCTCAAGGGCTCATATATGCCGGTGTAGGGAAAAGCCAGCACTCGCCTGCCACCCTAACTTTTCACTCAAGCTGGGACAATGACGGTATGCAGTGCTTGTGTTCTTCTTTCTGAATCGCCTGAATATTCTACAATGAGCTTTTGATGCTTTTATAAATGAAGAGTTTGGTTGATGTCTGTTGAGCCCAGACCTAGGTAGGGATTTAGAATGTGCAGATGGTGTCAGGCTGAAAGGCCCTTGGGGATGGGGCCACCCAGGAAAAGGAAATAACTTGTCACTGGTCACATAGGAAGGTAGAGGTGGACCTGGGACCATGGCTGTATTTGTTGAGGTCCACCCAGAAAGACAGAAGCCACTTTGAGGGTTTCACCCAGAGGAGATGAATGCAGGGAATGGTGACACGGCAGAGAAGAGGCAGAGAAGCCAACCTGGGCGTGGTGAGGCAGTTGGCACCAGCAGGAAACCTTCACCCCTGGGCTGCATGGCCAGCGGGAGGAGGGGGTATTAGCAGAGTGCAGAATCCAAGGCCACCTAGGCAGGAGCTGCAACCAGAGCGGGCTTGTCCTGTGTGTGTGTGTGTGTGTGTGTGTGTGTGTGTGTGAGATGGTGGTGGAGGAAACTCGGAGGCGGGGCTATCCTGGCTGTTCCCCTCTGACCTCCCTCTAGTTCCTCCTTCCATTGACCAAACCAAACCTGAAGGGGGATCCTGGCCCAAAGGAGTCAGCCCACTGCCCTACTGAATGGGGGGGGGGGGGCCAGGACATAGACCTGAGGCACATAGGCCTAGACAGGCACCCTGAGGAACCTGTAAACATCCTCTTTTCCTAACTTTGTATCTTTCCCTGTGACTCACCAGAGCTGTAAAGACTGGGCCACAGCCTAGGGTCAGGGACAGCTGGGGGATATGAACTAGCCTTTGCCAGACTGAGACTAGGAAGATGAGGACTTGCTGTTGACTCTGACGATGCCACTGGTCTCCGCCGCCCTGCTGGGCATGGCAGTTCCTCTGTCTCCTGCCTGGCACTGCCACATATCAGAGTGCATTGCTGTCATAGCTGATGTGGCCTGGACAGGGTTGGTGAGCACATCTCTTTCCCTGGTGGGACGCCCCTGAGTGGCATCCATAGCAGAATTGTTGAAAGTCATACTGAGTTTTCAGAAACAGTTCTTTGCATTCCCCTTACAGGCTCCTCCTTCCACGGGACCAGAGGGGGCTTCAGGGGCCTTGGCAGAGATGGATTCACACAGCAGCCGGCACTCCTTGTGCAAAATCCTTCGCCTCCATGTCCAGGGCTTCTTCGCTGCTCAAGTTCTTGCTCTCTCACAGTCCTTAGATCTCCTCAACTAGACTTCATCAGGCCCTCCTCCCAGCCCAGCCCCCCAGTTCAGTCTGGGGTCCAGTTTCACTTCGAACCAGTGCAGCCTAAACCCGGCAGCCACGTCCTTGTCTCACTGCTGGAATTGTGACTCTCTCCCTCTCTTTAAATTTGTTAATGTTTTAACCATATTGCATAATCAGCCTCATATGCTTGCACTTTACGTTTTCTTCTGGATAGTTTCAGTTATAACAATGTGTAGTATCATTATGATTGTTTTGTATATTCTTCTTTACAGAGTGGATCTGTAGAAACTTGGAACATAGCTTGGTTGGGAGGAGATATAGTTGATCTCTTGGTTTCTGTAGAAAGGTCCTCTGTTTACATGCCTTGCCTTGAAAACGTGTTTATAAGTCAAGGGTTTGGAACACATTTTTTGCCTTCATTTGGTCATTCATCAAAGATACGTTTGTGTCCAGGCTTGGTGACCCATAGAAACCATGTTGTAAATGTAGACTAATTCCCAGGCTACTCCAAAGACAATTTAACCTACATGGCATGGTGGTATAAGCTAGCCTCAGAACCTAACCACTGCCAAGACCATTGTATAGGAAACACAGACTTTGGGAACCCACCACCTAGATCCTGCTGAGCCATATGTTCCTGCTCTGCCAAGGAGAGAACCAAGCGTCACAGGGCAGTCTGCCCAGGTGCCAGGGGTCATGGTCATTCTCCATGTGGCTATACAGATGTTTGAGTTAAGGGCAGAGGCTGGCCTATGTTTTATTTTGTTTTTCAAATGATTTTCTGTTTCATATTTTTAATTGTTCTAGTAATACATGAACATATGCTCATTTTTTAAAATGTAAACAGTAGTATATTATTATTTTTTAATCCTCACCCGAGGACATTTTTCCATTTTTTTGTTCAGATAGAGTGGGAGGGAGAGAGAGAGAGAGAAATATCGACGTGAAAGGGACACATCGAGTGGTTGCCACCCACACGACCCAACCAGGGCCGGGGACAAACTGTAACCGAGGTACATGCCCCTAGTGGGAACCGAACCTGGATCTCTCTGGACCACAGGCCAGTGCTTTAACCGCTGAGCCAAACCAGCCAGGGCTGTTTTACTTTTTTAAATGTATTTTTTTTTTTTTAGAGCGAGAGAAAGGGAGAGAGAGATAGAAACATCAATGTGAGAAAGCAACATTGATCGGCCGCCTCCCGCATGCCCTACTGGGGATCAGGCTCACAACCCGGGCATATGCCCAGATCAGGAATCAAACCAGGACCTCTCAGTCCATGGGACAACACTCAATCCACTGAGCCACAGTGGCCGGGCATATTTTGCCCACTGTTTTAAAAAGGACCGCCCTGGCCAGTTTGGCTCAGCGGTTAGAGCGTCAGCCTGTGGTCCAGAGAGACCCGGGTTCGGTTCCCGCTAAGGGCACGTACCTCGGTTGCAGTTTGTCCCCGGGCCCTGGTTGGTCGTGCAGGTGGCAGCCACTCGATGTGCCCCTTTCACATCGATGTTTCTCTCTCTCTCTCTCTCCCTCCCTCCTGCTCTATCTGAACAAAGAATGAAAACATGTCCTCGGGTGAGGATAAAAAAAAAAAAAAAGGACCTTTGTTTCTCCATGCATGTTCCCATTGGTTATGGCTGGCCCTTACGATAGCTTGAGTTTTGTTTTTTTTTCTAAGCTGATCTTTTCCCTGATTGTCCACCTTGCTTATAGATGTGATAATAGTATTTTCATGTTAAATATTCTGGATTTCCTAGCTGGCACTCATATCATCTGCAATTGGTTTTCTTTTTAGGCTCATGCAGAGTCAAGTAAAACCTGGCTGACGGGGAAATTCACTGAACTCAGATTACTACTTGATGAAGAAGAAGTGCTGGCCAAGAAATTCATTGATAAAAATACCCAGTTTGCCCTCCAGGCATATGGGGATCAAATCAGATCTTGTGAGGACCAAATTGACATCTTGAGCAGTCTCTCCAACAGGGTCTGCAGTATCAGCCAGGAGACCGATCCTGTACAGCTGCTGCAGGTAATGCTGGGTTTCTGCCTCACAGCTGCCACCTGTCACCACCATTTGCATTTCATGTGGTTACTGTGGCACTGAGGACAGTATTTACACAAGGAGTTACACAGAGAACTGCCTTGTTAGCAAATTGACTTTCTTGCCCCTACACAAGTGGTCAGAAAATATACATAGTTAGGAAGATAATATACATCTTAGACTAATGAAATAACATTTACGACCATCATTTTTGAGGGCCTCTGTGTTCCAAGCACTTCATGTATCTTAGCTTTAATATTTACTAGAACTCTGCAAAGTGGATCTTATCAGCCTGCTTTAGGAATGGGAAGCTGAGGCTCAGGGAGGTGAAGGGCTCAGAACCCAGGTTTCTCTGACTGAAGCCGCAGGGCATCATTGCCCAGCCCTCTACCTATATAGTCTTCATTGAGACACCCCTCCTGGAAGGGCAAGCGTCCTGTCAGCTGCTGAACAGACCTCAAGAGCTGGGTCACAGTTTGCCCAAAAAGGAAAGAATAATGGTATTCTTTGGTCACTGGGCTCTATTGTAGGTTATTACCTTATACTGAGGAAGAGTCTAAGAAATAACCCCTATGATGTTCATGCTACACTTAGCAACAGCATGTGTTGAGGATGGTGGTCCTGTCTTCAGGGAACCAGGGGGAGAAACTCCTCTCTCTTGTCAATACTTCTGTGCAGTTACCTGTGCATTTAGATTGCTTTTCACTCATGTAACTCTTCCTGTTTCCTTCTTTGCTATGGCTTCTGGGAAGCTCACAGCCAAATATGTTTCAAATAGCTGGGCTATGACTTTGTAGCATATATTTTGTGCCTCATTTCACTCTATTTTACAGTTTACATTCTTATCCTGGTTTCCTCTTTGCTTCATTTTTCTCACTATAAAGTAAAATCTTGCAGTATTAGATAACCTTTGTAAGATACTTTAAAGGCTTTTGGGACAAGGCAGGGTACAACTAAATAAAGGTGGCATAGAGTCTAACCACAGATTGGCAGGGGCTGTGGCTGGAAAATAGCACAAATAAATCAATCGATACAAAACCATTCAAGCCAGTCCCTGGTGGATATTTCTACTCTTGTGCCTTTATGTGGCCTCGATCAACTCAGCCTGTGTCTCATTGTTAGCTAACAAAAAAATAAACCTACATAGACTCAGACAACGGCATGGTGATTACCAGAGGGGAAGGGGGCTGAGGGGGATAGAAGAGGGTTTAGGGAGATAAATGGTGATGGAAGGAGACTTGACTTGGGGTGGTAACCACACAATACAATATACAGTTGATGTATTATAGAATTTCTATACCTGAAACTTATATAATTGTATTAACCAATGTCACCCCAATAAATTCAAGTAAAAACAGTAAACCTAACAAAAAAAAATCTGGGTGAGGTGCTGTCCTAGGCAAAATGGTTACTGTACTTTGATGCACAGGGGAGTACATTTATTTGTTTCTTTTAAAATAATGGTACCTCTTTGGGATAGCTAATTCAAAGGGATGTTCCATGGAAAAGAATATTATTCCTCCATCACAGATACAGTTTCAAGGCTTTGTCATCTTTTTCTGTATTCTTTTTTGTTGTTGTTGTTTTTCTTTATTGATTTATAGAGACAGAGGAAGTGGAGGGAGAGAGAGATAGAAACATTGATGAGAGAGACACCGACTGGCCACCTCCTGCATGCCCCGCACTGGGGACTGGGCCCACAACCTGGGCATGTGCCCTGACTGGGAATCGAACAGGGGACCTCTTCTTGGTGCATGGGTTGATGCTCAACCAGTGAGCCACACAGGTCAGGCCTCTTTCTTTATTCTCTGGTGCCAAAGCTACTGATTTTCATCATTCATCCTTCCTTCCATTTGCTCATTCATTTATTCATCAAATATTCACTGAGCAACCTGTTCTGCACCAGGCCCCAGCTCAGTATTAGTAGCTCATAAGTGGGGATACATGCTCAGAAACGGGTATTTACAACACAGCTCAAGTGAGCTAGCAAAATTTTGTCCAAGAAATGTCCAGCTCTGCACAGGGGATCAGGGAACCCTTCTAGGAGGAGGTGATAGTGAACAGGGTGTGGGAGGATGAGGAGGCGCTCACTAGGTAAATAGAGGGACAAAGCAGAGAGGACATCCCAGGCAGATAGGAACCATGTGCCTGTGAGAGCTTAGCACGCTGGAGAACCACCTGGTTCAGCCTGGCTGGAGGTGGGGCTTGGATACAGGCACAGTTGGGAGATGCAGCTGGATCAGGAGGCCAGGGTTAATTGATGAAGGGCCTTACATACCTGGCCATGGAGTTTAGACTTTGTCCTGTAAAGAGATGGGGGCCAGGGGAGTGCTTTAAACTGAGGAATGACATGGTCAAGTCACTTTGGTAATAGGTTGGAGGATAGACCACGCAGACCAGGCAGGACTGGAGGCTAGAATGGGAAGTTAGGAGACCAGTGTCCAGAGAAATGGTGGTGGGCTGGACCAGTGATGGGACCGTGGGGATGAAGAGATGAAGTCAGGTGTGAGAGATGCAGCAGGATTGGTGATTGGAAGTGGGGGAATCCAAGATGATTCCTGGATTTGGGCTTGAGAGACGGGTGGCCAGGGGGCTGTTCTTTGAGTCTGCAAAGGCACAAAGCAGATACGCTGTTTCATTCATTCATTTAAACCCAAATGTTTATTGAGAACCTACTGTGTGTCGGGCTCTGTGCTAAATGCTGGAGTTGGGGGTTACCAGGTCACGGCATTTTTCCTTCATTCCCCTCCTCAGTCCCATCCCAACCATCTGCGCTCTGGGCCACCCCCTGCCACCCCAGAGCTGCTCCCTGCCCTCTCTAGCTAGCGCTCAGACTCCCTGGCCAGCTTTAGTGCAGCCCTCTGAGTGTGACCTTAGCCCTGGTTCCCCACAATTTATCTTCTTCCCACAAAATGAGGATGAACTCTAGACTGCAACTTCCTAGGTTGGACAGGGCTTGGGGACCATCTCTCAGCCCTCTCCCGAGGTCCAGCATGCTGCCTGGTGGGCCTCCTCTGCCCAACAGCTGAGTACTGGGCTACTCTCCCTCCCTCCTGAGGCATCCATTCGCCCATCCTATCTTGGGCATAACTGCCCACTAGCCAGGGCCTGCTCGCCTAAGGCAATCTGCTGTCTTCCAACTCCTTGCCCAGGACAACCCTCCGGAGAGTACAGACGGGGTTCTTAGCTGTAAAGAGCATCCACTGTGACTATCTGAAGCAAGAAAGGAGTTTATGAAAGAGGCTTCGGCAGCTCACAGGGTCTCCAGGAGGGCCAGAAAGTCGGGTGAAGAGCAGGCAGCATGAGGGAGGTGCAGGCCACAGCACAGGTGTGCTCCTGGGCAGACCCCACCGCTTTTCAGCTCACACCGCCGACCTAGGCACTGGCCCTCGGAGCCTCCACCGCCACTGTCCCCTACATGCTGCTGTCCCTGCTTCACCTCCACTTCCACATGCAAGTCTTGGATTGCAGGTGCCTCGTCACATGCCTGCCCCGTGGGTGCAAAGGAGGCTGCGAGAATGCATTTTCTAGTTTCTACTTAGCAAAGCCACACTTAACACTGGAAAGATATTTAAAAGGTGCTGTCTGGGCAGAAAACAGGACAGGTCCCCACTGTGGCGGCCACATTGCCTCAGGCAGCATTCCAGTTGAACTTCTGGGGGCTCCTTTCCCAGGAAAACTGGCCCCTTTGGGTCCCCCTGCACCTCAGGCAGACACCTGTCACTTTGTCTGCAAAGCTTCACAGCCCAGTTGGAGGTGGTGAGCAACTGAAACATGAGGCAGTCAGCCTGCCTCCCCCCGCTGCCACCAATGCTAACGCCTGGCACGGAGAAGACCTCGGTGAACGTGGAAGGCTGGAAGGGGAGTGGGAGGGGTCGTGCCAGCGCTAAGGCCGGACCTCCATACGTCTCCCACCCGGGCCTGCTGTGCGGTATTCCTGGGGGCGCAGCCCTGGGCTGATCCAAGGTGCCAGGGCAGGGTGGGATGGGCCTGCACTTGATGGCTGGGGTTTGTTCCTGGTGCCGCTGGGAGCCGCCCTGACCCCCATGTGCCCATGCAGGTCTTCACAGCCACTGAGCAGGAGCTGAAGCAGCAGATGAGCTTGGGGGAGATGTGCCACCCCGTGCCCCAATCCTTTGAGCCCATCAAGACCTTCTTCAAGGGCCTTGTGGAAGCCATGCAGAGGGTGATACAGACACCACTAGAGGTTCGCTTAAAGGAAAGTAAGTCACCACGTGACCGACTTTGTGTCCCTTACTCCCTCAGTGTCCTTTAGCCCAGAGGCAACCATGAATCGTGTCTCCCAGAGGCCTTTGGCTGGGTAGTCAGATGATCCCGGGCCTGTGCCCAACCCACCCTCTGACTTTACTTCCTACCCCTGCTGAGACTGTGTTCTGCCTCTTGAAGCCACACTGCTTCTCCCTGCCCGTCAGTCACTCCTAGGATTCTGCCTGCTCTGGGTCCTAGCTGGAATGGGCAACTCCTTCTCCTCCCCTTTGCCTGGTCAAGCTCCTGTCCCTGCGGGGCCATGACAGCTGTGTTCACTGAAAGCCTGTCCACATCACCTTGGGTTCACTCCATTCCCTGGACGTCTACCTCTATCCTTCCACTCCAGGGCCTGCACCGTCCCCTGCCTGGGGCTATTCTGCATGGACTCCTCCCTGCCTCTCGTAAATGCCTGAAGGGCAAGAATCGTTTGGGTTTTCCTGCTGGGCCTGACACAAAGCAGATGCTCAGAAATAATCTGTTCATTCATTCATTCATTCATTCATTCAGAACATTTATGGAGCCCCTATTATGTGCCAGGCACAGCTCTTGCCTTTGTGGTGCTCAGTCTTTGGGGGAGAAGACAGACAGCAAATGAATATATGTCAGTGATAAGTGCTCTGAAGAAAAATAACGCAGGTTAAGTGGAATGAAGGGTGACCAGGAGGAGAAGGAGGTACTCTATATGGGGAAGTAGGGAAGGCCTCTCTGAGAAGGGGATGGGTAACTGACCTGAAGGAAGCCTCTGTAAGCTCTGCAGAGCTGAAGGGCGGGGGCGCACCGGGGTCACAGCATGACCTGGAGCCAGACTTACTTGGTTCCTGTCCCAGGTCCACCACTTCCCAACCCTGTCATCTTGGGTAAAGCACCTAACTTTTCTACGCCTGTTTCTGTGAAACAACATAACACGGAGATGATAATGCAGTTCCCCTTCCTAGGATTGTTATAAGGACAGAATGAATTCTTATCTGCAAAGTGCTTAGAGTGGAGCTCAGGCATGTGAGTGCTAGCTGTTACTGTGGCTGTTTTTACATCGGGGGAAACATCTAGGCAGGGAACAGCATGTGCCTAGGGCCCTGAGTGGGGGAAGAACTTGAGATCTGGGCACAGAGAGGGGGCCACAGTGACTAGAGCACAGTGGTGGGAGCTGAGGTGGAGGAACTTGGAAGCTAGCTTGTCAAATGGGGCTGGCAGGGTAGTGCCAGCTGGGAAGGTCAGGAGAAAAGGAGAAAGAAGTAGGTAGGAAGACGCAAGGCAAAATGCTACCAGCACCCACTGAACAGCTCTGGGAGATGGAGAGAGGCGAGGCCAGGCCCTGGCTGCCGAGCAGGCCAACTTCATGAGGTGAGTAACAGAGAAGACAGCCAGGGGCTAAGGGGGCTCAGACGAAAGAGGGGGACTCTGATGGGAAGCCTGGAAGCCTTCCTGGAGGAGCTAGTACTTGAGTTGGGCTATAATCACTAACATTTTGAGAGTGAGGCCCTGGCCAGTTTGGCTCAGCGGTTGGAGCATTGGCCTGCGGACTAGAGAGTGGGAGAGAACTGGGAAAAGCTTTTCAAACTGAGACAGAGGATACAGTTTGGGACACTGTGATGCATGCAGCAGGGCTGAGATGTGGATTTTTCTGAGCTGGTTTGTCAAAGCAGATTTTTTCTTTTTTAAATTCTCACTGAGGATGTTTATTGATTTTTTTTAGAGACACAGGAAGAGATGGGGGGGCGGGGGGAGAGAGGGAAACATCAATGTGAGAGAGAAACATTGATTGGGTTGTCTTTCATATGCACCCTGTCCAGAGATTGAACCTGTAAGCTTTTTGGCATACGAACAATACTCCAACCAACTGAGCCACCCAGCCAGGGCTCACAGCAGATTTTTAATGTGTGGATGGTGTTTGCTCTGCTCATAACTTCCACTGGAATTGTGAACATAGTCCAAGTGAAAAATTCTTCTTGGGATGTAATTACTTAAAAATCACATACCAGAATGGTAGTAGTCAATAGCTCAGTTAATAAATAAATAAATAAAAGTTAATTTTTTTTTTTAAAAAAAAGAACCTTAGCCGTCGGCTCCAGGAAGCTTTGGGCTTGTCAGTATCCAGTGAGTGGGCATTGAAGTCCCTTCCCATCACTCCAGGCAAGAAGACACTCAGATGGTCCCAAAATGCAGTTGATTCACATGTACATTCTCAGGGTCCATTGCCAAAGAACTGGCAGTGCCTGCTGAGTGCCTGACACCAGCCAACACTTGCTCTGTGCCAGGCAGTGTTCTAGGCACTTTACCAGTTTCGCCCAGCAACTCTTCACCACCATCCTGTGTGGTAGGTGACTTCATTATCCCCATTTTATAGATGAGGAAGATGCGGCTCAGAGCTGGTAGGGATCGAGAAAGAATTCAAACACTCTGGTCCCAGGGTCTGTTTTGTGAACTCTTGGCCTGCTTCCTCCCAGGCCATCACCTCTTGCCCACCTCCAGATGAGGCCATCATTCTTACGATCACAAGTTAATACTGAGAGGTGCTGACTCCCAGGGAGGACCCAAGGAGATGGGGCCTTGCAGCACCACTGCCCTTCCAGGACCCACCCCAGCTTTGTGCCTGTGTGTTCCACAGACACTGCAGCTCAACAGGCCCAGTGGAATCTGGCATCTTTCCCCACCCACCCCTCCCTGGTCAGCTGCTTCCTGACTCCAGTCTGTTCTTCATTCCCTACTCCAGTAAACAGTTAAGCTCTGGCATTTCTGCCACTGCAATATTTCCTGAGCCCAGCCCCTTTTCCTTCCCTGCTGCCCTGCTCAGGTCTCAGTCTTCCAACAGGGCCTCTGCTTCCCCGCTCACCCTGTCTGTCCAGTCCTCACCAGAGAGCCATCCTCACTCAGACACCTTTCATGGCTCCTCACTGCTGACATGCCACTCCCAGCACCTGCCCTTAATGTCTTTGTTCTCACTATACCCTTTTATTGGGAAAGGCTCCCATCCTTTTTCTGGGTGTCCAAATCTTCCCGCTCCTGTAGTTGTCAGCTGAGGTGCTTCCCCCTCCATGAAGCTTTCCCAGACCCCTCCAAGCCCCAGAGCCCTTTCCCTTCTCTTTTCTGCAACCTGGAGCACTCTCTGCCTTGACTGATAGCTCCAGTGAGCCCATTTCTCATCCAACTTGGCTGACCGGGCTGTTGAAGATTGGGACCAGGCTTGGGTTTTCCCTTGAACTCCCTTTCACCTGAATGAGACCTGAACATGACCTTCCTGAGGACTCACCTTTAATTTCTTATTTTCCATCTTTATCCTGGAACTTGCATTTCTGTTGTGAGGTTGCTCCCATGGTTGACTGTTGAGCACACAGTTTATTCTCAGGATGTGCCTGGAGCTTGCCGTCTCCTCCCCAGGTTCAGGGCTCATTCATGCTGACCTGCCTTTGCTGAATGTGCTTCAGACCCTGGAAAGTGCATTTCTCTCAGATCTGACGTTGTCCTGGAATTTTTCCTGTGGCTGTGAATTTGCATTTCCTACCCAAATTTGCATGTGATTCTCCAGTTTTATAATATTTTTAATAATTTGTGCGGCTTGCATGAGCGCCAGACACTCATTTCTTACAATTCGTTACAGACATGAACTGCCGGCTCTCCAGCTTCTCTAGTACCAAGCTGGACTCCTTGTTGAAAATCAGTCCCTCACCAGAGCGATCGCTCTTCTTGAAATGTAAGACCCCCAGGGAGGAGGGGGAGGTGTGCATGGGTGCGGGGTGGGTCACAGAAATGGAGTTCCCCCTAAGAGACCCCATTTGGTTTTTAATTTTATTATTAGTTTTTATAAATACAAAAATAATATGTTCATTGTAGAAAAATTAGTAAACAAAGGAAAGCAAAAATTTTTAAAGAAAATCATTCATAAATCACTGGACAGCTTTGGAAATTCTTCTCTTCATGTCTACCCTAGTAGATATGTAGTAGTAGATAACTACTATTATTTGCCCTTCTAGTTTTCTTTGGCATATCTCTATATATTTAATGTCTATTTTTTTTAAAACATGGTGTCATACTATACATACTATTTTGATACTATTTTTTTCCTTTATTGATTTTAGAGAGAGAGGAAGTGAGAGGGAGAGAGAGATAGAAATATTGATAAGAGAGAACATCAATTGGCCACCTCCTGCATGCCCCCCACTGGGGATTAGGCCCACAACCTGGGCATGTGTCCTGACTGGGAATCGAACCAGCGACCTCTTGGTGCATGGGTTGACGCTCAACCACTGAGCCACACCAGCCAGACTACATACTGTTTTGTAATCTGTGTTTTCATTTACTGATATGTTGGGGTATGTACAGGAGGCAACTGATTCATGTCTCTCTAGAACATCAATATTTCTCTCTCTCACTCCATCTTTCTGTCTCTCTCTTTCTCTCCCTTCCACTCTCTTCAAAATCAGTGGAAAATATTCTCAGGTGAGGATTAAAACCTTGCTATGGAAAATGCCAAAACATTACTGAGAAAACTATTTGACATTATCTACTAAAGCTGAACATCCACATACCTTATGATCTGGACTTTTTTTTTAATCCTCCCTCACCTGCAGATATTTTTCTATTTATCTTCAGATAGAGTGGGAGGGAGAGAGAAGGAGAGAAAGGAAGAGAGAGAGAGAAACATCAATGTGAGAGGGACATATCAACATGAGAGGGACACATCGACTGGTTGCCTCCTGCACAACCTCAACCAGGGCCCGGGATGAACTGCAACTGAGGTACGTGCCCTTCGCTGGAATTGAACCCGCAACTCATTAGTCCGCAGCTGATGCTCTACCGCTGAGCGCTGACGCTCTACCGCTGAGCCAAACAGGCCAGGGCTTATGATCTAGACTTTTTATTTTATTTTATTTTATTTTATCCTCACCCGAGGACATTTTTGCATTTATCTTCAGATAGAGCGAGAGGGAGAAAGGGAGAGAAACATTGATGTGAGAGAGATACATCGACTGGTTGCCACCCACACGACCCCAACAGGGGCCGGGGACTGTAACCGAGGTATGTGCCCTTAGCGGGAACTGAACCTGGGACTCTCTGGTCTGCGGGCTGAAGCTCTAACCACTGAGCAAAACCAGCCAGGGCTATGATCCAGACTTTTAAAAAAACTTTATGTCTGTGCATGTGGTATAATGCAATGAGAACTATCATTGGGAGTTTAATCACTACCACATTACTAGAGAACAATTTGGCAATATTTACCAAAGGCCTTAAAAACAGTCATCCCCATTGACCCAGCAATTCCTTTGTAAGGAATATATCCTGAAGAAATAATCAAGCACAACTCTGGCTAGTTTTGCTCAGCGGTTAGAGCGTCAGCTTGAGGACCCAAGGGTCTCGGGTTCAATTCCCTGTCTAGGGCACCTGCCTGGGTTTTAGGTTTGATCTTGGCCCTGGTTGGACTGGTGAGGGAGGCAACCAGTGAGAGAATAGATGTCTCTCCCTCCCTCCCTCTCTCCCTTTCACTCCATCTAAAAACAAAGCAAACAAACAAAAAGCAAAACCAAAAAAATTATAAAAAGTAAATAATCAAATACATAAAGGTGTAATCATATTAGTGTTTTCATAAGCCTTCTGAAAAGCCTAAATATTATAAAGGAGGGTAGGTTTAATTATAATACATCCATACATAAAAAGCTTAGGTTTGCCATTAAAATGTTCTTTAAAATAATTATTTGGTGTGGTAAAATGTTCATAAATACATCAATACATTAAAAAAAAAAGATTGTCCAAGAGCATGCATGATATACCAATGTTAAGGAAAGCTATAAAATACTGGAAGGATATATTCCTAAGTGTTAACAGTGAAGGGATTATGCTTAAAATTTTTAGAAATTGGCAACAAATTCCATGGTTCAAAATTCAGATAGTACAACGTTTGTACAGTAAAACTTACTGCCCTTCCCATGTTCCCTCAGTCACCTCCCCAGAGGCAGTCAGGGTTAAAAGGGTGGCTTTCCATTTCTCCACGGAGGATTTAGTTTACCCATCTTTTCCTTGTAAGTGGGCGAGCCGGGCAGGTTTCTCGGGGGCGGGGCGCAGCGCTGGCCCCGCCCACCAGGCGTGCCATGGTGTCTCCGCCCTCCGCAGATGCGCGCACGCCCACGCTGGACCCGGACACGATGCACCCGCGCCTGCGCCTCTCGGCCGACTGCCTGACGGTGCACCGCGCTCTGCTCAGCCGCCTGGGCTCCTCGGCCTCGCTGCGGTTCGACGCGCTGTGGCAGCTGCTGAGCCGCGACTGCTTTGCCGCCGGCCGCCACTACTGGGAAGTGGACGTGCAGGAGGCGGGCTGCGGCTGGTGGGTGGGCGCGGCCTACGCCTCCCTGCGGCGTCGAGGGTCCTCGGCCGCCGCCCGCCTGGGCTGCAACCGCCAGTCCTGGTGCCTCAAGCGCTACGATCTCGAGTACTGGGCCTTCCACGACAGCCAGCGCAGCCGTCTGTGGCCCCGCGACGACCCCGACCGGCTGGGCGTCTTCCTGGATTACGAGGCCGGCGTCCTCGCCTTCTACGACGTGTCCGACGGCATGAGGCACCTCCACACCTTCCGTGCCGCGTTCCAGGAGCCGCTGTATCCTGCCCTGCGGCTCTGGGATGGGGCCATCCGCATCCCCCGGCTGCCCTAGGGGCTGAGACTGGAGTGACCGCCCGTAGGCTCTCCCGGACTCTGGTCACAGACGTGAGTGGTCCACTGCCTACTCTCTGAGCACACTCATCGTCTCCCCCACCGGTCACACTTGTGCTCTAACAGTTCCTCTCTCGGGCTGGTTTCCAACATGCCTTAAACATAGGTCCTCTGCTGCTGCTCTCTCATAAGACCTCCCCACCACCACCAGAGCACTTAAGCAACACTGTTTTTAGTCCAAGTTCCCAAAAGGACATTTGCAGGTGAGCGCTGAGCATCCTAACCAATCACAGTACATTATCCTTAGCCTGAGACTTCCTCCTTCATACAGAAGCCAAACCGCTTGGCACATAGTAGGTGCACAATAAACACATGAATGAATGAGTCACCCAGCCCTAATTCTGTCTATCCAGTGTCCTTTAAATCTGCCTCCTCCTCTCCGCTCTACTTCCTCTTGTCCATGTTTCCTCCCTTGAGAGCAGCATCGAGAGCCTCTTAACAGTGCCTGGCCTAAACCCTCCCCCATTCTCCTCTCTATAGCCAGGGTGATCTGCCTAAAACCACACTTAACCTCTCAGAACTATGAAAAGGTTCCCAAGGACTCCAGGAGGGAAAAGCACTTCACCTTGCCTTAGCATTCAAGGTTTTTCTAGGCTGCTCCTAAGCTACTTCTCAGCTAGCTTCTGCAGCTCTTTTCAGATACCCTCGAGCAGAACTGTACCACATAGTTGACTTCTGCACCTTTGCAGCTATCCTTCCTCCCTGCCCCATGCACATTTATACAAGAAAGCCCTTTCTTCTTTTCCTGTCCAGTATTCCCCAGGCTTAACTGCCCCACGGGAATCTCCCCAAGCCACAAGAATCGCTTAGTATCAGACCACAAACCTGGGACCTATCTTTCCAACTGGATTGGAAGCTTTCTAAGGCAGCTATGTCCTATACTCTCCCCACCCTGAAAAACTCAGTAAGTCCCTGCCCTCCCAGGTAGTGAATAGCCAGCAGCTGGCTATCACTGGATCACAGAGCAGCTGAGCTGGGAGAACCTCACAAATCACCCAGTCTGGCCTCACTGTACATTTGGGGAGCCTAAGGTCCTGACCTGAAAGTTGCTTAAAGTTACCCATGGTGGTTAAGGGCCGAGCCACCCCCCAGCTCCCAGGCAAGTTTCTGATTTGCCCCTTGGCCCAATCCTTTAAGCCCAGCCTTTAACGTGGGAGATTTTACTGCTTATTCATTTCTCAGGGGATGTTGGGAAGACTCAGCAGGTGGCAGTAACTAAGCAACCACTGGCAGTTTTCCCACTGTCTTAAAATCAAAAGGAGAGCAGCTCTGAGTAGAGTTTGGGCAGCCCAGACACCCTGTGCTCCTCAGATCCAGATGTTGCCAAGGAAACCCATGTAGCCTCGTTTCCCAGAAAGAAGTGACAGAAATAGAGAAGGCCAAACCAGCAGGACTTCACAGGGAGACCAGCTCCTCTAGCAGGGAGGGAAAGGCCTCTTTCCAGGGCCTGTGCATCAGTTTTGTAGGCTCAGCGTTCTGATTTGTCAAATTCCCTAGACAGTTTTTAAGTTATACTATATTAAAAGTATCTTGTTAGGTGCTTAACAGGAGGACAGTAGTAGGGTGAGAAAAATGTGAAGCTGAATCACCCTCATGGTTTAAACAGACTCTCAGTGCATCAATTAGTTTGAACCACAAACTGCGAATTTCCAATATTTTTGACCTAAAAGTGGCACTTTCATATGGGGCAACATAATACAAGTAGAATACAAGGCAGAAGGAACCTCAAAAGTGCCTTCAGTTCTAACCAAATCATTTAAAACTCTAGCTTGGATAGATGTCTAAGCACTATGCTCCAGGAATCCTGAGAAAAGAGAAATTAATTCTAGTGGGGATGGCTCAGAACTGAAATCAGGCAGAGGGCATTCCTGACAGAGAAAGAGGGGTGCACTTGATTCTACATCTCTTTTCATCCCTGCAAATCAAGACTGGTACCCAGACCCACAGGCACAGGGGCCAAGTAACTTCGTCAGGCACTGTTCTAACGCTTTACAACTATGAACTCATTTGATCCTCACATCATCCCTGGGAGGTGGAAAGTTATCCCAATTAAGACACACAAGGCGTAACTTGCCCAAAGTCACATAGCTAATGGTGGAACTGGGGTCTGTGCTCATGTCCACCAGGCCCTTACTATTTGGGTGAAAGTAGCCAGTCTCTGGCCAGTGCCTGCTCAGTCTAGCCCCTCTCGGTAGGTCTGTAATACTTAGCTTTTTTGCCTGGTTACTCTGTGGGACCTGAGTATAGCTTCAGATGATCTTCCTTGGACTCTGAGATGAGCTCTTACACTAGAGTGGAAAATGAGAGTAGCAGAGGCAGAACTGGACTATAAAGGGCAAAAATTGGTTTTTATCATCCGGCCGGTGTGGCTCAGTGGCTGAGCATTGACCCACGCACCAAGAGGTCGCCGGTTCAATTCCCGGTCAGGACACATGCCCAGGTTGTGGGCCCGATCCCCAGTTGGGGGCATGCAGGAGGCAGTCAGTCGATGTCCTCTCTCATCATGTTTCTATGTCTCTCTACCTCTCTCTGAAAATCAATAAAGAAAAAAAAAATTAAAAAAGAAAACTTCTCATATCTTAAAAAAAAAAAAATTGGTTTTTATCAAATGCCTACTCTGTGCCAGGGCCTGCACAAGCCAGGAAACTGCAGTTTTGGTCCACAATCAATTGTGGCATCAGGCTAGTCACTTCTTCTCAGAGTGTCATCTGTAAAACAGGTGAAATGATCCTATCTACCAGTGCTATGAGTCTCTAATAAGCCAAGGATAGGAACTTGCCTTAAAAACTGTACAGAGCTGTGCCATGCCAGGATGTGTGAGCATCCTCAGCAGAATTCCTGTTGTGCTTAATGCTGAGCCAACTGGTAATTCTAACTACCATCTAGCAGTAGCAGGAGCTTATTCTCAGGAGAGGACTGAGCTTCCTTGGGGTCCATGTCTGTAAGGGTACAGATCACTCAGATTTTAATTTGGAGAAATTTCTTTTTTTTTTTTTTTTTTAATCCTCACCCGAGGACATTTTTGCAATTTTTGTACAGATAGAGTGGGAGGGAGAGAGAGAGAGAGAGAGAGAAACATCGATGTGAAAGGGACACATCGAGTGGCTGCCACCCACACGACCGACCAGGGCCGGGGACAAACTGCAACCGAAGTACGTGCCCTTAGCGGGAACCGAACCCGGGTCTCTCCGGACCGCAGGCCGACGCTCTAACCGCTGAGCCAAACCGGCCAGGGCTGGAGAAATTTCTTAATTGATACAGCAAATTGTTTGCAGATATGTTTAAATGACATCAGTTTTCTAATATGTATGTTTACATATATATGAATACTGTCTCTTTAAAACTTAAAAAAAATTTTTTTTGAGAGAGAGGAAGGGGGAAAAAGAGAAACATCGATCAGTTGCCTCCTGCACACATCCCTACTGGGGATTGAACCCACAACCTTTTGATGTACAGGACAATGCTCCAATCAAAAGAGTCACGCTGGCCAGGACTGAATGAATATATTGTCTCTTAACAATGGTCTTCATTGGGAGTTATTGCTTCATGTACACAGTATCTAGGTCTGGACAGTCTTGCTCATTTTCCACACCCTCCACAATTTCCTTGCAGTGGTCAGCTGGTCCCTGATTGAATATCTCCAGTAATGGGAACTTCACCACTTCTGAAGATAATTCACTAAGTTCTTGCTTATGTGAAAACAAACCCTGCTTCCCAGCTGTTCCTATCCATGACAGTGTTATGTAGCTTTTGGCATCTTTGTGATCATCCTTTACCAGCACTGAAGCCATCTTTGGCCCTTAATGATTTTGAGATTTCAGGGACCCTTCCTTGCCTACTGCATCATCTTTTCCATTTCTGCAATTGCACTTTGCCAGGAAGCAGTGGAAAATGACATCAGCCTAATTAAGGCACAGCCTACCAGAGGGCACACAGAGGTGGCCCTGCACAGCTAGGCCTGGTGGGCAGGAGTTTGTACTATGAGGAGGGGACAGCTTGCCCAAGAAGCCAAGCTAGATGAGGGATAAGTGTAAGAATGGGAGACCCATGTTCTGCTCAGAAGTCTTCCATGGCTCCCCATTGCCTATAGAACAAAGTCCAAACTCAACTGGCTTTTAAGCTATTGCTTCTTTCCTGACAAATTCCAAATCCCTTCTTTCCTCTCCTTATGGCCATTCCCTGCCAAACCATCACCTGCTAGTCCCTATATATGATGGGCACTTCCCAAGCCTATGCCCCAACTCCCTCAGTCACTTCTCAACCTGCAAGAGTGAACTATAGTGCCGCCTCCTCCAGGAGCCCCCTCCTCCCCGACTATGCCTCCTCTCCCATCCCTACTCCCATGACTCCCATCACTCTTGGAAAACATCTCAGCAATTCATACACATGGGATGTTGTTTGTGGAGACAACTGACTGGTTTCCTGTTGGAAACCACCCTTCTGCACATTCTCAGCTAGAGCCCAGACAAGGCCCTTCCCTCTTTTCCAGACCCACATCCTGTTTCCAGGCCCTGGAACACATCTCTCTAATATTGTCTCTTCTTGTTAGGAAGTCTCAGATACTTGCTTAAATGTCACCTTCTCTGCTGTTGTAAAAAAAAAAAAAGTCCATGGAATAGGAAATTTTGATGGTCTATTCAAGGTCTGTTGATAGGGAAAAGTGAAAGGGAGTTAATAATATAAGCCGGAAATTGGTACTTTCACACTTCAGTTCTTAGCAAATCAATTTTACGGGTTCTTTTTTTACACGAGTATAACCCAGGATTCCTATACCATCCCACCCACACATACAACGTGAACACCTTTCCAGAAACTGTTTTGGGATCTGCAGGAAAGGGAGGTTCTATACTCAAAAGTAAACAAACTTCAGAAGGCTAATTTATGCATTTGAAAAGAGACTCAAATGTACACTTTGAAACAAGAGTTAGAGTAAACAAGGTCAACTGAACAAAGATTAAGAATTTGAAAACAGCCCTGGCCGGTTTGGCTCAGCAGTTAAGAGTGTTGGTCTGTGGTCCAGAGACCCGGGTTCCATTCCCACTAGGGGCGTGTACCTCGGTTGCAGTTTGTCCCTGGCCCTGGTTGGTCGTGTGGGTTGCAGCCACTCGATGTGTCCCTTTTACATCAAAGTTTCTCTCTCTCTCTATTCCTCTCTCTCCCTCCCAGTCTACCTGAACAAAAAAATGGAAAAATGTCCTCAAGTGAGGATAAAAAAACAAAAACAAGAATTTGAAAATGTACTGGAAAAGAATCATTAATCTTTATTGGTTCAAAAGAACAAGGGAATATGATATAAAATCT